ACCTTTATGGACCATGGTATTTTTGTGTTCTCAAGTCCTATACACATTAAGGTATGAGTCTAGACTAGTTTCACAAGGAAAGGAAGGGACTAGGGCACACTTTTGCCCCCTAAAGAAGGGTTTACGGTCCAAGGTGTTCTTGGGCCGTAAACACCTTTGATCTTGGTGTTTCCTCGTGATTTCTTGATGTATAGACGTATAATAAGCCCTATGATACTCTAAGATAGAAGCATTTACAATTTGGGACGAAATACTGAAGATCCTTGGGAGAGAATCAGGTTTTTCTCTAGTTGAAAATGGAACAAATGACTAAAAATGGCTAAGGGCCATATATATACCCCATGGAGTTTACGACCATAAACTCCATGTTTGGGTCGTAAAACTCCAATTTCTTGGAGTTATGGAATGGTATTGTTGCACAATAAACCCTAAGGCATCCTCTCTCCTAGTATCCCCTAAAGTGTTAATCATAGAATACTCAATCTTATTCTAAAAAGTCTGAAAATTAACAGTAACTGTTCTGACTTCTATTGACTTGATATGTTGTACAGAAAGGAAATTTTGGGTTGTCACATATTTCATAATTGATTATATGTTAACTTATGTGTGACCATACATAGATCTACATGAATTAATTGATAATTAGTAAATTTAGAACTGAATTGCTAATAATGTTTTAATTGGTAACCAACATGAATTGTCATAATTAATTTATAAACCATTGAGGGAAAGTGGATTCGAACTAACATAAGTGTTTTGTTTATTGATTGAATTTGTGTTAAGAAATTAAGTTCATCTAAATTTGCAAAATTTGATAAAACCACCACTTAGCTAGGAAATTAGGTTAATTTAATAGTAGGTAAATTAATTAGTTAAAACTGTACCTATAATCGACACCTGACTTACCCAAACTATTCTATAATTCGACTAGGTACACTACCTAGGTGCATTTTAGTTAGTTAAGTTAATTAGTTTAATAATTTAAAACTAGTAGGTACTTCCGTGCACGTCAATTGTTATTTATTATTATTAACAATAATATTAACACCATATCATTAAATTGGTTTTCTCAAATTCGTTGTATAAAATGTGAGCATTAAACATGATAACATTTCATTTTATTGATGTATGACCTTTTTCCAGAATAACCACCAGAATATCAACTAAATACTACGTAATATGATGTTTAAAATGTGTTTTGTGGATTTGTGAACAAGTAACCCTTGTGTTGTGAACATTACCCAATTCACGGTAATATTTGTGTGTTTTCTTGAATTACTACATTATCATAGTTTACTGATCGCAATAAAAGTGTTTATTCGATAATTTATTCAAAAATAGTGCATGTAGTATTATAATATTCAATAATACATTAAGGGTGTTACGAAAATCACATTTCACCTTTTTGACCTAATATATGCACAATTGACTTTTCTTGACCCTTGTTGGCTTTTGTTGACCAAAACTTGACGGATGTCACACAAGTATTTTGTTTTTTGTCTACCTCTCTTTTCTTGTCGTTTATTAACCACTGCATATACTTCTGGACGTCTCGCCCTTTTATTCTCTCGGTGGTACGAATTGTGCCTTCACGATTGTTTGGCCGACTGATAAGGTTGTCTTATCTGCCCCGTGGAGCTGTAATTATTTTGCCGCTCATTTGGTTGTGACTTAGTAGAAATCAAGGCATTGAAGTATGCATGTTTTTATATTGTACCTTCTTCCTGTCATATGTACTTTTCGACCCTTTCTTTTAGCTCGTGCATATCTGGGGTGGTTTCCCAAGAACTCTAACAACTCGCATGGGAGTAGCCCTATGTAAATACACCAATAACCATTGTTTCGTCTTGCCCGAGGGTATCGAAGGTAGCTTTGGTGAATCTTTCAAAATATTCATTCACTTTCTCCCCTTCCTTTTGCTTGCACCCAATTATGGCATGGGTGTCCCCTTTATACTGTCGCAATTGCATGAAGTTGGTTAGGAACACATATTTTAACTGTGCAATATTATTAATGTTGCATGGTGCTAACATTTTGAACCACGTCCCTACGTTCCCATCTAACGTAGTGGGGAAGTAGGTGCACCAAAATCTTTCGTCTAGCTTTAGGGACGTCATAGTCCATGCATATGTGTATATGTGGCTGTCTGGGTCTGTCGTGCCATTGTAGGTTTTTAACGCATGCAACTCTGATGTGTTTGGGATATCATAGTTCACTAGATCTTATGTAAATGGTGAAAGAACACTTCGTCCCATTGCAAATTTTGGTGCGTGTTAGTTATGTGAATATGCATATGTCATATTGAAGGGCATATATGGAATTTGGAAAGGGATGCATGATGTTTGGAACGGCATCTGCGTTGCGCTACTAGTAGTGTTGTAAAGTGGCATGTAGGTATTTCCATGTATGCTATTGGAAATTGGTGCTATGAAAGAATTTGTAATCTGTGTATGCAACGATGTGTTTTGAACGTTGGATATTGGCGGTACCGTGGTCATGAATGGTGGCAACTGAGTATTACTTTGAGTATTTGGAAACATAACCTTATTATTGTGGTTCCGGTATTTTTCATGACACTAGTTACGTGGTGTTTGAGAGCTTGCACTCCAGATAGGGGGATGAAGAGCGGTGGTGTGGTCATGGTTGTGAGCTCCTTGGTTGCTCTATTAACACTGTTGTGGTGGTCTTCAGGTCTAACGTCGTTAGCGATGTTATGAAGGTAGGTTGCTCAAGCGTTTATATTAGACAGATCGGGCTCCTGAAGACTCCACTTCATTATCCATACTCCATCATCACTTCTATCTCTTTTTCACCGGCCATTATCGATGCAGTTGTGATGTGTGGTTTTTGTTCACGTTATCGCACACCGTATGACGCCAATGTTGCAACGTCATCCTGTGGGTAAGATGTTAGTTTGGGTAAGAGGTCTTCGTCGGGAACCTGTAGTCACAATCATATAAAATGTTTGTAGTTCTCTGGTAGGGGATCCCGAGAGGACGCTTTGACGGTCTAATCAGCAGAGAGGAGATGGTTTAAGTATGAGCAGTGGAATGAGTCGGAAAGATTCTACCTCAAAAGATGTTACCCTTCTCCTTTTATAGTTCACGCTTTGCACATATGGGGGGGGGGGGGGGGGTTCGGGGTCATAGTAACGATATCTGAAATACCACATTGTCCATATATGATTCTCCTCTTATTCTGATTGGTGCAAAAGGAATAAATGGTAGTGGCTCGTGGACAACGATGATGACATCTCATCTGCATGACAACCAATGACCGTGTGTAGGGAACAAGAGGCCTTTTCCCAAAAAGTGTTGGCTTGCTGCCGAGGATAGCTAGTCCTGATGTCTGTCTCACTAAGATTCCATCTTGACAGTTTCTCGTGCTGACTCATGTGAATAGTTGGGCAAAGCTGTTCAACAACTCTTTCTTCTTGTCTGATCGAGCCAACAACCGCCTTGTAGGACGAGTCATCGTTGTGCTGGTCACGTCGTGATGGGCTGTCATGGGGTACGTCATCATAATGAAATCGTAATTTTTAATGTATTTTTTTATCTTAGTATATTTTATTGGAAATTTTTTGGTGCTACCTGTTACACAAGTTCATGGGCCCGATCCTCACTTAACATTACACTTAAACCTATATATACGTGTATGTAGATCGTCCACCTCACATACTCCTTCTTCATAACTCATTTTCCAAGAATGCTTTGTTTTGTGTAGACCTTGAAAACCTTTTGTAACTCCTTTTTTCTACCTTTTTGTATTTCTTTTATTCCTTTAATTTGCAATTTCATTTTATCCTATTGATCGACAGGTTGTCGTATTTTTCATTTTCAAATGGAAAATACACATTTCACTTTAGTTATTTTGTATTGAAAAAACATCATAAATGGTCCCTGTGGTTTCCCAAAATCTAATGTTTAGGCCTCGTGATTTAAAAACCTCATAGATGGTCCTTGTGCTTTCAAAACTTTTGACAGATGGTCATTATCCCTCACACTGTTAGAACCCCACCGTTAACTCTTATTTCATTAAAATAATATAAGGGCAAATTGGTCTTTTCACCTATGCCCTCTTCTTTATTGAGGGAAATGATTATGCCACTGTCTTCTTCACGTCAACTCCCAATCACTCTTCATCTCCCAAGAGTACAGTAACTTTGTCTTCAACAGATCACTCTCATCCGAGAAACGAAATTGGGGTTTAGGGTTTACATAGCACCAAAGGACAATGGTTATGTCAATATGGTGTTTGCGTGAAAAAAATGCGTGCTTGAAGGACTTGCAATCGAGATACGGTAAGATTTTTCATAAAAAAAAACCTTAAGTTTTTGTTTTCCTTGAATGTATCCATGAAGATAAATCATCTTCTTTACCTTTTCTATTTTTGTGTTTGTAGAGGGATATGATAACTATTTCACGTTGAAGATACACTATAGTGGTGTCTTCACCAAGTCACCTGGAAGGAAATATGTCGATGGTACTATATCATACGTAGATGACGTTGACACTGATTTATTTTCAGTCCATGAACTCGATGACATGGTTCGAGAATTAGGGTACAAAGTTGAACAAACTCTTTACTACCATTTTTGTATCCCTGAATTTCCTTTAGACTACGGGTTATTGCCTTTAGGTAATGACCAAGATGTTCTTAAATTGGTTTCGTATGTCCGTAAACACAGACTTTTAAAGGTCTATATTGAAATTGGTCAGACTAGGGTAGCTAGTTATTTTAAGTCTCCTTCCAAAGTTGTTATTGAGGAACTGGAACCTGAGAGTGTGTCACCGGAACTTAATAGAAAAAAACATTGTAGAAGAGAAGTAGGATCGTGTAGTAAAAAGCTTAAGTTAGACCACCCTGTCAACCATGTTGTTGACCATTCACAGGTAATGGATATGAATAAAAGTCAGGATCATTCAATGACTATTGTTCCATATGTTATGTCTCAAGTTAGCCAACGAAGTAATGTCATTGATGTGAATGAAGGATTGATCATGGGCCACATAGAAGAAGTGTGTAAGGGTAATTTAGGCAATCCTGCAGAGGATCCAATTTGTGAAGATATTGATGGACAACAAAGTGTAAGACTCGATGAATTTGAAGCATTTACAGATGATTATTCAACTTATGATGACTTTGATGTTGAGTACAGTGTACCAAATGGTGAAGACAATCAAGTAGAAATGGAAATTCTAGAGGGCATGGTAAGTGATGATAGTGGAGATGCTTTCTATAGTCGGAATGGAGATGGTTCTGATTATAGTGGAGATGATTCTGATGATAGTGACTACATTGTACATGAGTCTAACTTTCCATTTGATGTGGATGTAGACATGAGTGAATCCCAAAGTGTCATGGATGTAGATGAACATGGAATTTTAAACAAGCAAACCGAAAGTATAGCGAATGACATAGTTGATGAAGAGTTGGAAGTTATTCAAAGTGATGATTATCAGTATGCAGGATTTTATGAAGATGAAAGGACAAAAATGCTTAAGGAGTTGAGTAACCCTAAAATTCCAATCAAAGCTTTACACGAGGAGTTGTGTAAGAAGCTAGAGCTTGGTATGTCAGTTCAAAAGGTTGCTAGGGCAAAGCAAATGGTTGAACGTGTGATTAATGGGAGCTACCAACTTCAATATGGGTATATGAGGGATTATGCTTTGGAACTTCTAAACACTAATCCTGGTTCAACTGTTAGGATAGATGTGTATCCTGAACCATGCTTGTCGACTACTACAAGAACTTTTAGACGAATATATGTATGTCTAGGTGCATTGAAGTTGGGATTCAAAGTTAGGTTAAGGGATTTCCTGGGAGTTGATGGTACATTATTGAAAGGCCCATATCCTAGGTAGGTACTAACTGTTGTGGGTCTAGACTCAAATAATGGAATATACCATGTAGCATATGTAGTGGTAGAGGTTGAAACAACTAGTTCTTGGACCTGGTTCATGGAAGTGTTGGGAGAAGACTTGGAATTGGGAGTAAATTCAAATTTTACCTTCATTTCTGATAGACAAAAAGGTATGATTTACCTTGTAACACCCCAAAAATACAGGCCAAAATTTTCATTTTTAAATACGTCATTATAAAACCAACAGTGTAATAAAACATTTGTAATATCATGTCATGTCAAAACCAAAGTAGAAATAATTAAACATGTTATCATAAAACATTATCAGAGTGTAATCCCAAAGATCTCATGTGCGGAAAACCATAGTGTGATGCGTTGCGATCAAGCCGACTCCTTTCCTTTAGACACAAAGTACCTGAAACCAAAACTGAAAACCGTAAGCACGATGCTTAGTGAGTTCCCCCATCATACCACATACCATATAATCACATAACATACATATATTGTCAGGCATATCTGGGTGCCCGACCTGCCCCTTCGGTCCTCTCGACCGGATACTGGCTAGCATATCTGGGTGTTGGCCTCCCCTTCAGTCCTTTCGACCGAATACTAGGGACTATTTCACCCCTCTACTACTACCACATAACACATATCACATAATCTATCTAGCATGGCTGGGCATGACTACCCCTTCGGCCCTATCGACCGGTAATCTGGGGACTATCTCCCCTACTGTCACTAGCACATAACATATCAGGTAGTAGCAAACCTAGATGAATATCACAGAGACAATCATCAAATCATACAACTCCTACTGATGGGTCGGCATTGTGGCCTTAGACCCACCGCTACTAGAAGGTAACTCACCTCACACTGCTGAAGTCCCACACACATAACCCCACATTGCTGAAGTCCCGCAAACTTCACCGCAGCTGCTAGATGACAGATTTCCAAACTGTCAACACCAAAATAACACCCAATTAATAATTGGGTCCCAATACATAACCATAAGTACATTCTTTGGGTAATTACTACATTACCCCTAGCTTGGCTTATTCAAGCCCAAAGCCCAAACCATAGGTCCAAAGTCGATTAGGAATCAAAGCCCAACACATGGCCCAATTTTCCAAATTGGGCCTAGGCCTATACATGGTCTCATTCTAAGGCCTAACATCATATAATCATTAAGGCCCAAACTATGGCCCATCTATGTCCCAATTTTCCAAATCGGGCCCAAGCCCCTTCCATGAGCCTTACCCTAGGCCCATTAAATTACTCTAGACCATTTGCTGGATCTTGGATAACCCATTTACTAACCCAATCACCAAGGCCCAATAGAAAGGCCCAACAATAAACCCAAGTGAAATTAGGGTTTCACATAAAATGATGATTAGGGTTAAGTTTCCTACTTAACCCATTAAGGACTTGATCCATTAAGTCCAATATTGCTTAGATTAATTTCCGCCAATGATTATTATTTAATATCTCAAGTTATTAAATAATTCCCGTGTGTCCCGATTAATTTCCCAATGTTAGGGTTTTGATTGCATTAGGGTTTTCCAACCTAAATACTAGCCCATTATCAACTTGTTGGGCTTTTAGATTATTCAGGGCTTTATTGGGCCTATTAAGCCCACTAGAATAATATTAAGCCCATTGGAGTCAATTCAGCTTTATTGGGCCCACTTGAGCTTACAAGGCCCATTAGGGTTTCAAGCACCCCCAAACGAATCAAACTCACAAGGAAAACACACCGCCACCCGACATGGCGGCCGGTGGCGGCAGCCACCACCTCACGATGGTGGTTTTTAGTTTCTTTCTCATTATTCCATTTCCAATTACATTTTACAAGGCTAAATCTCAAGTAAACACACACACCTACTGACACACACACAAAAACACGGTGGTGCATGGTGGCAGCCACCACCCCACAGTGGTGGTGATGCCTTGTACTTAGAACTCCGACCAAACACACACTAATGAAATCAACACACACACAAGATTAACCCATACATCAGCAAACCCAACCTCTATGGCGGTCCTTGAGGTGGCAGCCACCATGGCCGGCTGCCATGGTGGTTCTTCACAGCTCCCATTTGACAGAACCCACAACACACACGAAAATTAGCACAATACAGTAGCATCTAAACCGGCTTGGGAACTACAAACTCAGCCACACCAACGAAGGAATGACTACACCACCCACACCCACACGTCCTTGCTCGGAGATAAACACAACCACCCACCTCGTGGTGGTGTACGGAGAAGACAATGGCACTGGAAGGCTGCCACAACGACATCTAACGGTGGTGGCTAGCGGTCACGAATAGGAAATAGCAACAGGAGAACGGGTGAGGAGGATGAGCAGAGACCACCTTGGACTGAAGCACCATTGACCACCGGCTAGCGGCACCTCCGTCTTCAACTGTGGGAGTGAAAGGGGCCGACAATGAAACAGTAGCGAGATGTGCCTTCGCCGGTAGCCAAGCCATGACGGCATCTCGATGGTGAGGCAGCAGGCAGCGTCGTTTGGGACTCTATCTGGTCGGCGGCGGCGGCTGGGGAGAAGTAGAAGGAGGTACGCCGGAGATGGAATGTATAAGGTGGAGGTGGCGGCTGATCTGTTATTAGGGTTAGGGTTAGGAACACTTGATGTATATATATGGAGGTTGCGAAGTAGGATGACGGGTTCTAACCCGTATCCCATACAACTTACATATAGCTTTGACACTTCTAGCCCCTCCCATCCATAATTTTTCCAAAAGAAGTCTACAATTTACCACTTAAACCCTACCCCTTGAAATCCTTTACAAATGACGTCCGAATTTTATCTTTTTAACCCCAGCCAACCAAAAACCCTTCAACTTAAGTCCTCATAATTACCATGCAGCCCCTCCTCTACAATTATTTTCAAAAAAGGTCCATAATTACCTCTTTAGCCCCTGTTTTCTGTAATAATTATAAATCGAGTCCGAAACTTATACTTTTAACCCCCAACTTCTGAATTGTGCCAATTAGCTCCTCGAAACCAACACCCTGCATATATAATTATTTGTTTTAGGGCTACGAGCCATCCATTTATTTATTTATTTATTTAATAAATAAATGGGGTTTTACATACCTTAATTATTTCTCATGATAGTGTACCTTACTTTCTATTTTTATAAATGAAACTGACTATATTTGCATTTGTTAAGGGGATAATACCAGCAGTTGCAAAGGTATTCCCCAATGCAGAACATAGGTTTTGTTTGAGGCATATTCAGGAGAATTTGAAGAAACAATGGAAAGGAAAAGAGTTGAGTGACTTGGTTTGGGAATGTGGTAGAGCAACAACATTAAATTACTTTAAATATGCAATGGATGAGTTGAAGAAAATGAATGATGAAGCTCATTCTTGGTTGTGTACGATTCCTGCAGAGACATGGTCTAAATCTCACTTTAGTGGTATGTCATTTAGAAGTTGTTGAGCTTTATGTTTTAATATAAAATTTGTAATTTCTCTTTCTGAATATGTTTTTCACATGTAGGGCACATACTGATTGTTTGTTGAATAATCTTTGTGAGGTATTCAATGCTAAGATGGAGGGAGGTAGGATAAACCAATCATCACTTGCTTAGAGTATATTAGAGAGTATCTCATGAAGAGATTGTGTGTTATGCAAAAGGAAATAGATAAGTGTCAAGGTGAACTAAGTACTACTGCAACTATAATTTTAGAGGAGATTAAGACTCAAGCAGCAAAGTATGTAGCTAAGTATAATGGGGCAGGAAAGTACCAAGTTGCAAGCACATGGTTGGATCAGTATGTGGTGAACCTAAATGAAAGAAGTTGCACTTGTAGGTTCTGGAAGATTACAGGTTTTCCATGTAGGCATGTTGTTTCTGCTATATGGAACAAAATTGAAAATGGAGAAGATGCCCCTGATGTTGAGGATTGGGTCCATCCTTGCTATAAGTTATCAACATGGAAAGCCATGTATCTGAACAAAATTGATCCAATAAATGGTCGTTCAATGTGGCCAAAAAGTGATTGTCCATTCACTTTAACTCCACCAAAACATCACATACAGGTTGTTATGTCAACTAGGCTAGATATGTACTTTTAATGCCAGCATGTATGTTTATGTTTTAAATATAATAAATGCATATGTGTAGGTTGGAGGCCAAAAAAGAAGAGAAGGAGAGGTGTTGATGAGCCCAACAGCCAACCCACTAAATTGAGCAGGAAATTTCTTTCAGTCACATGTTCAAAGTGTCATAACAAGGGCCACAATTCCAGAACATGTAAAGGGCCGAGAGGTATTGGTGAAGTTGGATCAAAGGGGAAGACATAGGGAAAGGGGAAGACACAAGGTAAGGCAAAGGGGGTTGGAAATTTTGTTAAGTAGTTAATTGGATGTTTTGGTAGTTAGGTCTTTTAAAACTTGAATTATGGTTTGGCTGTTTAAATTATGGTAATTAGGTCTTTTGTAATGTTTGTATGGGTTAATACCTTCCATCAGTAAGTATGTTGAAACTAAGTGTCATGTTTAAACACAGACTTGTAATGATTTTATCAACATTTTGCTTATGAATTACCCTCTCTAAACCTTTCTCAAAAAGATGCATGTATAACAATGTAGATTTGAAATACCATTCCTAACCATTTGCAAGATGCAGTTATAACAATGTATCATACGAAAATGCACATCAAAACCACTGATTTATAACAAAATACATAATCATCATTTCCAGTAACTTAATGTGTTACACTTCATACAAAAAAATGAAAGCAAAAATACTCATTCCATCACAATCCAAAACCCCCTAAATTAGTTAGATGCGTAAAAAAGAAACCAAAAACCCCCATCCTATTACCATCCAGATCCTTCAACCACTTTACTAGTTAAAATAAAACCAAAAAAAAACATCCATGAACAGAACAACATCAGCTGGTAGTTCCACAGTTCTGCACTTGCAATCGCAACCCTCTCTTCCAATCGATTCATTGATCTTATCAAACCTGGAATCACCACCAATACCTTAGCACACATCGGAGGGTCAACCCGCCTTACGAACCCACATCTTGAACAATTCAAAAATTGCCTTCCTGGGTTACGATCCGTCCATGAGGTCAACTTCGTTGTTTCCATTCCACATCTACAATTCGCCATCTTTGATACTCGCAGAATTCGTTTTGCAATTGGATGCACAATAGAGTGAGAGTAGAAGAGGGTGAGTGCGAGAAGGGTTTTCAAAATATCATACATGCATTTGGTTATAAAGAAGATGGCACAGGTGAAAATACCGATTTGCCCTTATATTATTTTAATAAAATAAGAGTTAACGGTGGGTTCTAACGGTGCGAGTGATAAGGACCATCTGTCAAAAGTTTTGAAAGTACAATGACCATCTATGAGGTTTTTAAACCACAAGGCCTAAACTTTAGATTTTAGGAAACCACGGGAACCATTTATGATGTTTTTTCTTTTGTATTCTAAAAATTGTTAAGAGGTAGCTATTATCTTATTGATAACTCGAGGGGTATTTAAAAAATAACTGAAAAATGCTGGAGGTTAGATGCAAATATGTAGATCGCTTAATAAAAATCCTGATCATCTTGCTTAATTCGTGCCATTTCTCCGCAGTGTCGCTTGCTGCCTCCTGCTGTTCACTTCGCCATTGAAGAAACCTCCGGTAATGCTTCATCTTCTTCGTCACTCGATTGATTAATTTAACATCTATAGGCCTCTTTTCTCTTCATCTGCGAATCTAAAACCTAAATATGTTGTTACTCCCGAGTGAATCGAATTCGCAATACAAAAATGTGAAGGCTTTGATTTTCAGTATCAAATTAGGGATATTTTTTTTATAAGATGGCTGTAATTTAGTACTCGGGTTCATGAAACAATTGGTGTTCCCACTGTTCCAATAAAAGAGAGTTCCAATTTGGCTTTTGAAAATCAAATCTATTACTTCCCGAGAAAAACTTGTTCTTTGTAACCCCTTTTCTCTTATCATCTTCATAACTAAATTATTTGCCCCCTTTGGTATATAATTAGGAATTACTTCAACTATTTACCTTCTAAATACAAAAATATATACAGTTCTCTTACAAATTTAACCCCCAATATACTCTAATCTATTGCCAGTTTCAAATATTATAACTATTTAGAAGTTTAAATCTAATCTTACAAACTCATAAAGCTTGTGATATCAGAGTTTTGAAGATGGAAAATACCCAAGAACCAGAGGAAAGTGAGACTAAAGAGATTCAAGAAACAGAATCTCGTGAAGAGATGCTTTCAAGACACAGGTACCCTTCTTTCAATTAAGTAATTTCTGCATTTACAAGTACAAAAATGATGACTTTGTTATAATAATTACAGAAAAGAAATCACCCAATTACAAAACAAGGAAATCGCACTAAAAAAAGCAGCAGCTAAAGGCAGTAAAGCTGAGCAAAAAGCTAAAAAGAAACAAGTGGAAGAACAAATCTCTCAACTCACAAATGACCTAAAACAAAAACATTTAGGTGAACTTGCAACTGTAGGCTATGCTAGTAGCACCACAAACAAGGAGGACAATATCGACATTTTAGCAAAAGCCATAGCTGGGGTCTCAGTAACCCACCAACCCGAACATTCAAAACCCACAAAAAGTGCAAAAAGAAAAGAAAAAAGAGCCCAAGAAGAAGCAGCAAGAGAGCAAAGAATACAAGAAGAACAAAGCAATATTGTGAGTGACAAAATGGTTGAAAATGAAAAATTGGAGAAAAAAGTCAAACCACTTGGTCTTATAGTCAACGAAATAAAACCAGATGGGCATTGTTTATACAGAGCTGTTGAAGATCAGTTGAAAATAAAAAGCAAAAGTTCATCTTTTTACACGTTTCAAGAACTTAGAAAAATGGTGGCAGATTATATGAGGAAGAATTCATCAGATTTTCTTCCGTTTTTCTTATCAGAAACAGAAGAAGATGGAGATTATCATGAAAGATTTGAGAGTTATTGTAATGAAGTGGAGTCAACAGCTGCTTGGGGTGGTCAACTTGAGCTTGGAGCTTTGACTCATTGTTTAAAGAAACATATTATGATATTTTCAGGGTCTTTTCCTGATGTGGAAATGGGAAAAGAGTATAAATCTGGTGATTTTTTGGATTCAAGTATTGTTTTGTCGTATCATAAGCATGCATTTGGGCTTGGTGAGCATTATAACTCTCTTGTTCCAGTTTGAAGAGCAATCCGAAAGGGTAAAATGGTAATATGTCATACTTGAAGTTATTACTTAGTATTTTTGTTATGAAATGGCCATATAAACCATGGTTAATCTTTTAAACTAGAGTTTTGGTTTGTGCTTTTATTTTTGAAGTTGACCTTGTATCAACAAATAATATGATTGATGTTACAAATTTAGTGCTTTAAGTCTTTGACTTTGTTTCATGAATGTCATATGTTGACTGGTCAATTGTTGGTATGTGGTTTGACTTTGTTTCATGAATGTCATATGTTGACTTGTATGGATTTTTTTTATTGTTCTTATTGTTTATGGGTTATGAGTTGTACTAATGTTATTGCTCTCTTTGTAGAATTCAACCATCAACATGATGTTTAGCTTGATGTATAATTTAATAAATTTACCCTTTAATTTTGAACTTTCTAAAATGTCACTTCCATCCTCTCCATTTTTTAGAATTTTGTATTTACCCCATAATAAACATAATTTGATTCTTCTATAGTTACCACACATCAACTTTGTAAAGTATCTGGATGATCCATACCAATCACCCTTAACCACTCAACTTTCAATTTGTTCCTCTATCTTTTTGTTCAATCTTTATGAAATTTCACAATTTTAAATTAAGTGATGACTTGTTAATGATGCCACAAACTATTGTAACAACTCGATTAAACAATAACCAAATAGTAGTTACAAGATGCAAGAAACATGCATTTGTCAAGAACAATATTGATCCACACCCTCCAATTTTATCATTCGCACAACCATAGTATACCTCTTTTATACCTAAATTCATGTGTAGTGAAAAAGAGGGCATCATATTTATATATCAAATTAAAAGTCTCATTAAAACTACATTTGGTACACAGAATCGTGATCCTTATCTGTTGCACTTTTTGTCTTATTGACATTAATCACAGTACTTATTTCACCTTTTGGGAGAGAGAAAAAAAAGTTGTTTTTTTTTGTTTGATTGGAGTCTTAGTCTATGTTGTATTAGTTTGAATAAGAGTACCAATAAATGATAAGACAGATGCACACATTATACATGGTTCACATGTAACATAAAGATAGCATTTTGAGAACATCTCAACAACTTCATGTTTTGTAAGTCCCTTTTCTTTCCACTCCTCAAGTAAAACATCAATAGCTTCCATTTCAGCGTGTCTTGTAGCCTCCATTAATTTGTTAGTCACATAATGGTGAGTTAACCAGAATTACAAACAGAAAATAGAAAATTGTTATAAAAGTACATACATTTCTTGTTTCATTACTCCGATTTCTTCCACATGATATGACCTTCCCATCCATAACAATAACACATCTGTTCCATGAAAAAGAAATCCGTTAAGACATACCCCACAGGCACCTCAAGACTGTAAAATGCAATTTTAGCCTGTTGTAACGCCAGCTTCATTAATGCAACAATTTCAGGCATTTCTTCTCCCATCTTGATATGGACTGAAATGAAATAAACAGGCATGGAAAAAAGGAAAAAGAGAACTCCTTTAAGTAATTGCAACCAGTATGTATTCGGCATTAAAAAAATCCTGTGAATCCATATCATTGGCTAGTGACTAAGCATTTGAATTGATATATTGTAGACTTTATCAGAGGAACCAAGTAAAGGTAAAAGTAAAACCACTAGGTAAAACTATGTTATGATTTGTACAAAGTTATAATTTATGTTGTGATTATGGGTAAAATTTGAATGACATTACCATTTTGGTAAAAATAACAAAACATGTTGCTGTTTCTTGCAATTTGCCATAATATAAAAGCATATTTAAAGAAAGAAATATGTTGCAAATTGGAATTTTTATGAATTTTGTTTTCTGTTCTTGAACTCCACAGCACCATTAGGTGCTTGTGTCTTTAAGTTTGCTTACCTTATAGGGTTAATGGCTTGATAGGTCGACAACTATATTTCGTGTATATATTTAGTTATATTCTTGTATACAAATTATCATTAAAATGGAAATAGTTGTTCAAAAAACACTGATTTAACTGACAGTAGTCGGTTTTCAGTGACTCACTCACTTGGGGAGTTAACGAATCGATTAGCCGATAGGGTATGGAGCTATGTTTCATGCACCTATTTGGTTATTTTTTTCTTATACATAGTTTGTCTTCAAAGTCATTGTGCTCCATTTTAAATAATAATAATAATAATAACCATTTTCAATAAGGGTTGTTGTTTGATTCTTTTTTTGAAATATCAATCGGAATAATCTATATTAAATTAAAACTTGATGTAAACCATCTGAATCTGTCAAAGTGTAATAATACTCAAAATTTAATCCAACCTAAAAATATGGAACATGATCGGGTCGAAAGAAATTTGACAAAAAAAAAAAAAAACGTCCTTAACCCTTATTACCCCACCTCTCTCCTTAAAAAAAACACAACCAAACATCCATCCCCTCTCATTACAACAATCGCCCTGAAAACTCGGTCCTTAATTCATTATAACGAAATCGTAGTGAAATAGAAGTAGAGAAGAATATAGAAATTTTATCCGGCCAACCTATGAAAAATTGAAAACTAATAACCATATGATGAAATGGATAATAAAAGAAGGAGGGAAGTCATTTAACAACTATTTTTGGCATATTTCTACGGAACGTTTAAGAGCTTCTAGCATTTGATAAAACGTTTTGTTTTGAAAAAGAAGTCTCGTTTGACACTACATGTTTTTAGCGTTTGGTTTAAGCAAAACGTTCCAAATCTAAAAACTACCTCACGTAATATTCAACAAAATGCTACCAGCTACCTGTTAATTTTGCCGAACAAACCCTTTATCGAATGAATACCTTCTGATAACTTCCTTCTATTCACTACTAATCATTGGCGAGAATACATTAACAAGGTAGTTCACTTGACCTACCTTATTTTGTTTTTATTATAATAGTTTATATATAATAAAAATCTTGTGACCTGCCTTAATCATTTTAAGTGAACTATCCTAGTTTTTTTGGTAAAAATAAAGAGTATAAATCATATTTTAAGGCCTATATTCTATTTTTTAATAGCTCAAAATTTTTATGGTATAATACAATATGCATAGCCAATTAAAAAATAAAAAAGAAGCAAACATGAATCAACAACGTCATGTTTCACAGCACACACTTGGCGCATCAATCCTTCGCAATCGTTGGTCAAGTTAGATATATTTGTAAGAAATTTAAATCATGATAAATTTGTGAAAATATCAAGATATAAGACATCGTTAGATATATTTGTAAGAAATTTAAATCATGTTTTTCTTATACGACCGACCCAATCCGAAACCACGAGTAGTATTTTTTGATATTCTTCATTTTCAATCGGTTTCATTTAAATAGTGAACTATGTGGTTTGACGTTCTAGACTCGCCACTGCTACTAATGACTATGATTATTTAACAATCAATCATATGTTTTTAAACCTTGATTAACATCTCACATCATCATTAACATAATTATTTACAATCCTAAGTTGAAGATCTAATAAAACTTTGATTAAATCTATTGGAAGTCACATAAGCTTCCAAATGAGACACTAGCTTCAATTGATGATTAAATGACATCAAATATGATTCAAACTGATCATATACAGTAGGTTCATGATATAACTCAATATGTTTAGAAGCAAGTCATATCACATTCAAGGCTTAGAACTCCATTGAAGCTCTCCATCGGAGACTTGAAATCATCAATTAGCTAGCTCAACAAAATTTGATAGTAACATGTTTTGGATTCATCAGCTCAATATGAGAGCAGGAAACTTGATTCCTAACCAAATCAAACATTAATTTTGTTCATCATAACTAAAAATGAATTCCTCCGATTCTAGAATTTGAAAACCTCTAAAACATGATTTGATTCCATTTCTAACTTGCAAATGAGAAATTGAAGCTAGAACTGTATCTTAAGATTATAATCATCCTCTAACCTACATTCCTCAACACCAATCCATCATAGATTCATATTTGTGAAGGCTTTAGATGAGATTTGAAGATGGAGGAGATATATTCGTTCTTCCCAAACAATGGATTCAAGCTCCAAACCTCCCATTAAACTATAATATATTTCAAATCTCCTTAATTACTTTCACAATCATCTTTAAGCTCTTTCAATCCCTCCAATTCATTCAAACGAGAAAGAGAAATGAGTGTCGAGGCTTATGTTCATAAGTTTACGAACTTGACACTTTAGGTCCTACGACTTCCTAATTTTCCTTATTTGGCCCCAAAACAGTTGACTAGATTTTGTAATTACCATTTAGACCTTAACCAACTAATTTCCTAACAAAATTAGTCCTGCAAGAAGTAATTAGGTTAAGTAAAGGTCAAACATGTAATAATACTCGAGTCAACTTCCAATTTTCAAACATTTGACTTTATTTATATATTTAATTCATTAAATATACTTTTTATTATTGATTTTTTTTAATCTTAATAAAATAAAATTTACTCGTAAAAAACAGATGTTACACTTATTATATCTTCCTCTTAGTGTAATCCTATTTTCCTTATCAACTCTACTCCTTTAATTCATCAATGTGATGGACAAATGGAATAGTTTTGCTATTTTTTACTAAGAAACCGAGAAAGGACATTTTGCTTAATATTTGTAAAAGAAAATGAAGTAGTTAAGACTTAAGATAGATGAAAGAGTTATGATGGAAGAAGGATCCAATCATTGGTTTTTTGGTTTTTTTAGATATGTAAATCTTTTGTAGCTTCTTTCTAGTTCTTATTAAAACTTGACGTTCGAAAATGAGTACCTATATCTTGAAGAAATGATTTTGGTGGTGATTAAAAACAAACTCAAGCTCTTTATGTAATTTATAGTTTAGTGTGATATCTTGGAATCGGAATAAGATCTTTCAATAGTTACAATATATTTTGGTGATGAAGAATCTATTAATCATTTTGAACTCATTCGTAGCATTCAATGTAACTGAAATTTCAAAGATCGTTTCATGTTTTAAATTCATCTTGAAGCTAGGAAAACCACTACTTTTTTTATTGATATAAAGACAACCACATTGCGTATGTCTACAAACAAAACAAATTTAGAATAATACCCAACAAATTGCTATCCTACAAATCGACGTGTTCCACCAAGATGAAATAACATGGTTGTTGCCTTATGGGTTGCTTTCTTACACGTTAATAACAGAAACAAACCATATAACCAAATCTACAATCCAAAAAGTAGGAAAAAAACACCATAAACAAACAAAACCTTAACCTAAAATCAAAATCTTCCAAAAGATTATATACCTTGTTTACTCAGCCAAAGAGGTGTCATTGTGTCAACAAACACAGGATTTATCATTTATCAAGATATACATTAACAATGATTTCTTCATCCTTCATATTGTTTTCCATGTCAAAATTAAAAATTAAAAAAAGAAAACCCACTAATCCCACAAACCTTTTCTTTACATAATGTTCTTTTCTTTTTTAAACCATAAACCACAATCGAATACCAAGTCAAAATCAAAGTCTTGGCTTTATAAAAATTACCCCTAACCCAATCTATAATTAACCTTTAGTCATACTCTTAAAGCCACAGGATCTTGCCATGAGATCTTCCTCTTTCCTGCTCTATTTGATGAAGCATCCCCAACATTTCTACAAATCGATAGCTTTAAGTCATTGTGTTCCTCTTCTTCTTCTTCAATCTAACAATCAAGAAACAATAAAACGTTAGAACAAGTAACTATCATATCAAAGCACTTCTTTTTTCTTCCTATGTGGATAAAATGTTGCCTCGATAAACAAAAAGGAAAAAGTAAACAAATTTGTAAAAAGTATCTTTGTGTTCTTTCTACATAAAGTAAAATAAGAAAAATTCATATACACCCATTTGACTTTTTGACTTACGGATATTTGGTTCAAGTCAAATATAGGAACCCGAGCTTCTTTACCACCAAAACCGTTCTCTTTCCGATTGAATTCAGTCGCCGGAGACAAGTTGACACTATGCAAATTTACATTTTTATCCCCATGAGGTGGTCGACTTGGATTAACGTTTTTCTTCTCTGTATACACTCTTCCCCTTTGATTTAGGTTGTGAATCGGGGGCAAATTGTGTAAAGTTTTCGCCTTTTTGGGGTGGACGTTTTCCTTCTTGCTTTTTCTGAATTGGGTTGTTTCTAAATTATGTGTTTTCACTTGTTGTGAAGTTGTAGTAGACTTGGATTTCAATAGAAATTTGTGTCTTCTCCTCAAGAATCTGCATTCACAAGAACTCAATTTTAGCGCATGCTTAAGTGATAAATTATCTTATTATCACAATAAATAACAATGTGCTTTCATATAATTTTTTCTTATTAAAGCATTGTGCTTTGTATTTTTAAAATAATAACAATGAAAGTAGGGTGATTTAATAAACATGTAAATGAAAGTATGTTGTAATGAATTTAGTAGGTAAAAGTGATTCGAAAGGTGATATCGTACCTAACTTCGGCTTCTAAAGTTTGTTTCTTTTGCTTCATGGCCTCCAATTTGTTTCTTGCAGCCTCTGTTTCCTGTAAATTTCATAACCGAGTTAACTCAGCCCGGTTCAACAAGGCTCGCCGGCTTGTTGACAGCTGTCGGTGGCTCCAAGAGTCACCGGCGATCTTCAAAGATCACAAAATATTTACGACACAAATACCCTTTTGTAGTTGATTGAAATCTTCCAAGATCACAAAAATTAAATATAACCCTAACCCCATAAATTTTGTGATGAGAATTTATCAAGAAAACCAAGGGGAAACGTAGATCAGAGAGTTCAAATTCGATTATTGAAGAAAAAAGACATGATTTTTTTTCCAATAATCTTTGAAGAAACAATAGATCTATTTAGGGAATACACGAAGAGATCATATACGAAATCAACGGCATAAAGATGAAGCAATATTAAGAATCGTTATCAACATATGATCAAAACAACAAGAACCCTAACGAATCTTGAAGATCAAAAACAAAACAGAGAACAAACTTTACCTGTTCCAACTCCCGGTAATCTTGGAGAAGGGTTTGATGCTTAAATCTTGCTCGAGCGTCCTCATAAGACGCATGAGGAGATGAATCAAAAGCAACCCCTTTCATCTTCTTACTCATCAGATCTCAACTTTGTTGAAAAAAAATCTTAATTCGATAAAAGAAGAGAGAGAGAGAAAGTGAAGAAGGAAATACGAAGATGAGAGAGAGAGAGAGAGATAGAAAGCGAGGTGTGGGGAAGAAAGAGTTTAAAGAAAGAAAGAAAGATGAATGGGTGTGTGTATGTGTATGTGTGTGGGTGTGGGGGTGAGAAGGTTCTTGCTTTTCCTGTTTTCTCTGTTGTTGGTGATGAAACTCTGACCAAAGACAAAGCCCCAAAAAGCCCACATATATCGGTTCGTTTGGTAGACAATGGAGTGATGAAGATGGAGATTTTTGGGGGGTTGCAGAAGGGTATTTGTGGAACAACCATAATTAATTGGTCTGTATGTGAATTTTGTTTTTGTGCGTGTGTGTGTATGTGTATGTGTGAGGTGGGTTTGGTTGGAGTTTGAAGACATCTCCCCTCTCTTTCTCTCTCTATCTATCTCACTGATGATTTCTCTTTCTCTTTCTCTCTCTATCTTTCAAGACTCTCTTTTTTACATAAATTTTGGTCCAACTGGGCCATTGAAGAGACAGAGAGGATGGGTGGTGTGTGTGGACTCTTTCTTTGTTTTTCTGATGATGATGAGTTGTTTGTGCCATTTTTCTTTCTTCTTTGTGGGTGTTTGTATTGTATATATTTTGCAAGATAGAAAGAAGCAGAAAAAAGAAATCAATCAATTAAAGAAAATATATATATATATATATATTTTTTAGAGAGAGAAAGAGAAAGAGAAAGATGAGTGCTGTGTGTTCTGATGTAGTGCAGTTGTTGGTAGTACCTTGTTTTTAGGCATCGGTTTCCTTGATGACTGGTTCTTTTCTTTTTTTTAAGTTTGATTGAGATGTGATTGTGATGGTAACCCTTTTTAAAATTACTCTTTACTCCTTTTGCTTAATCTATAAATCCAATACTTTTGATCGTTTATTTAAAAAAAAAAAAAGATTCCTTCATTTGTTGTTGTGGTATTTATTATATTGCAGAAAACCCAATGGACATGGAGTCATGAGGGTCTTCTGATCTGGGTGTGCCCACTATATTATAGCCTTTATGTTAGTCTTCCAGGGGTAAAAACGTAATTTTGTTCTCAATCATGGAAGATACAGGTCCATTAACCTTCTGGTACCGGGAAGGTGGCAAAGAAAAGTGAAAAAGAGAATCTTTTTTCACCGAACAGCCATTTCCATCAAGCAACAGTCAGGGGTATTTTGGTAATTTAACACACCTTCTTCATGTTTCCTTATCTTGGTTTACCCACCATGATTGGCACTTTCCTGGGAAGAAGTCAACAGGTTTTTAAACCAGCTGAGCAGTTTCGGGGAGAGAGAAGGAGAATGTGAAAAAAGACACCCTTTTTTTTCTTTAATTTATTTATTTATTTTTTTGGGTGGGGGGATAGAATGTGGTCACAAGTTGTGGAGGGGGTTTTATTGGAATTTGATAAAAGTAATCTTTTCCTTTGGTAAAGAAAATATGTTTTTAGTCCTTGAAGTATTGATGAGGTGACATCCTATTGTGAAATATTCATCATACTTATTAAGGAAAAATCCAACAAAAAGAAAAACCATAGCTTTTCATTTCTTTTTGTTTAACCACCTATATTTTTGTTATTTTTACGATTTAACAATAAAACGGTGAATTTTATATAAGACTAAACTGAAAAAATAGTCCATGTGGTATGATAAAAATTGTCAATTTGGTTTAAAAAGGTTTGAAATATTACCATTAGTCAAAAAAAATTATTTTGTTGCGTTTTTAATTCAATTTTTTTCAATATTCTAAAAATGAAAGTTCTACTTACTTTTTCCTTTTCATTTTATTTATTTTACCATTTATTTCATTAAAATATAATATAAACAAAATATAAACCTACCCACTCACCCAAACCCTTATACTCTATCTTCACTTTCTTTAGTTTCGCCGAAAACAATCACCACCGCCGCCAATAACGTTGGATTTCACTGTCAGTGTTGGATCTACCGTCAAACTCATCATCTTCTCTAGCAAACTCCAACAGCAAAACCCTAATCATATGGGCTGTAATATCCAGATTTCCAGATATATTATTTTACTTATTTATTTTTGAAGTTTATTGAGCAGCTTAACAAGTTGGTACTACAACTCGTCGAGTAGAATCGGACGTGGCCAGTGGGATTAATAATCAACTCGACGAATTCGAGAGTCGACTCGCCGAGTAGGCGCTGTGAGAGGAAACCTTAAATCCCTAGGTTTGGGGCCTATATAAGGACACTTATAGCCTCATTTGTGGCTCCCCATCTGTTTCCCTTCACTGAGAGAAACCCTAATCGCCTCCTTTAGCAAGAGCCTTTACATATGGGCTTCTGCATGGAACACTATCGAAGAAATTCCTTGGGAAAACGTCGACCATAAGGCAAGAGATGAACGTGAGATTCCAAAAATATTTATAACAAGAAGCAGGGACCGCAATAAAGGAAGCATACCTAAAAGCAGAAATATCCTAGAGGGGAAACTTAAATGTAACATCCCAAAATACAATCTAAAAATTTCGTTTGAAAACATTACTAAAACCATAATATCCAAATGTCATATAATAAAAACCATAGGTCGTGTATCTCAAAATGTCATAATAAATGTATCAAATCAAATCGAATGTCAAGATCGTGTCAAAAATATCAGAGTCTAACTCCTAGGCTAAGACTATGATGTGTGCCATGTCATCATCCCGAGCCCATCCCTTTGCTTGCTAAAGTACCTAAAACCAAAACTGAAACTATAAACACGAAGCTTAGTGAGCTCCCCCAAATTACCACATACCATATAATAACATACAAAGCACATATTAGGCCTTGCCACTGCATCAGACCGAAGTCCGGAACTAACTAGGGCCTTGCCCACTGTATCGGACCGAAGTCCGGAACTGACTAGGGCCTCGCCCACTGCATCGGACCGAAGTCCGTAACTGACTAGGGACATGCCCACTGCATCGGACCGAAGTCCGGAACTAACTAGGGCCTCGCCCACTGCATCGGACCGAAGTACAGAACTAACTAGGGCCTCGCCCACTGCATTGGATCGAAGGGCCTTGCCCACTGCATCGGATCAAAGTCCAAAACTAACTAGGGCCTCGCCCACTGCATCGGACCAAAGTCCGGAACTAACTAGGGTCTCGCTCACTGCATCGGACCGAAGTCCGGAACTGACTGAACATAGCATAATATAATCATAATATATAACAATAACACATATACTGCATCAGACCGCAGCCCGGAACACACAACACATAGACATGCCTGAATCACAAAGACATCAAGCACATTGAACTGCTGCTATCTAAACGGGCCGGTATTGTGGCCGTAGAACCATTCCTACTGGAAGGAAACTCACCTCACACCGCTGAAGTCCCGCTGACAAAACCATAGCTGTTGGATGACAGATTCTCGGTCTGTCAGTGTAACATCCATAAAATTCAAGCCAATTTAAAACTTTTTAAAACATTAAAACCATTAAGTTATTACAGTTTACTTTCAAAATAATTTAAGCATCAGAGTATCCCCAGAATCAATCATGAAAATTTAAGGAGGTGCACGATCACGCCTTCGCCTTCCTGCGATCATCAGAAATACCTGAAATAAAATCAACAACTGTAAGCCCGAAGCTTAGTGAGTTTCCCCAAAATATCAATGCCATACAAATATAATCATATCATATAACAAATACAGAAACACATGTATAATGAGCCTTCGGCATGACTGGACCGCCTCCTCAAGGCCTACAGCCTATCTGGACCGCTCTCGAGCCTTCGGCATGACTGGATCGCCTCCTCGGGGCCTACAGCCTATCCGGACCGCCCTGGGTATGTTGGCCTACAGCACGAAGTGGGACCGCCTCAACCCAACCCCCAAACAAACAATCATGTGCACATGATTAACATACAAACAATATCATGCATATAGTAGTCAAACCAATCTAACAGATCTCTAACCATAGCAACATCCTATAAACAGGATATCGACCTAACAGGTCACTAACATAGCATCATCCTCTATACCAGGAATATTGACCTAACCACATCACTGAGCATAGCATATCATCATCCTAACTACCATGATGTAAATCATTAAGCATATGATACGATAATTCGAATACAATCCATAAGGGTCGGCCTTGATGCCTTACACCATGTTGATATAGTGAGGATAACTCATTTGGCATTGCTGAAGTCCCGCCGATAAAACTCCAGTTGCTGGTTAACAGATTCCCGAATTGTCAACATCAAACAACACCAATTAATAATTGGGTTCCAAGCCTAAAGTCCAACTTGTAACACCCGTTTATTTATGAAGTTAAATAAATAAATTACTGAACGAATAATAGCCCTAAAATAAATAATTATATATCAAATGATGGTCTCGTAGAGCTAATTGTCACACTTTAAGAGATTGGGGGTTAAAAATGTAAAATCCATACTTGAATTGTAAGGGTTTTCTGAAGGAAGGGTTAGATATGAAAAATATGGATCTATTTTGAATTAAATTGGAGCTGGAAGGACCATTTGGGTCATTATGGAAAACTAATGTGAGGAGCCGGTATATAAGGGTTATGAAACCCTAACCCTTGTCTCATTTGTTCAGCCGCCAACTTCATCTACACTCCCCTTCACCTTCCTCGACATCGCACCACCCATCTCCACCGATTCCAAGCCGCCATGGACCTTGTTCATTCTCCAGCCACCAAGAACCACCACAATGCCACGCCGTCGCCCAGCTACCGTTCGCTTGGTAATGGAGACGGGAACATCGAAGACCATCGTCGTGGCTGTAAACCGCTGTGCCCAGATGCGCTTCGTCTCTTCTTCTTCTCATGTTCGATTTCAACCACGTTGACGGTGTCGCTAGGGCTGTCGACGCCGCCACTCCAAACAGCTGTGGTGAGACGTTGTTGCCACCGCTACCTCCGGCCTATGGTGCCACTATTGCATTGCAATCGTTGTTGTCTATGACAACCGTCAATTTTCGGTCAAGACAAAGTCAACCGAAGTCAACAAGTCAAACCGTTCGACTCATTTTGCACGTAGGTACTATAGTTTATGTTAGGTAAATACTAAACTACTCGCTATTCTAATGAGAGATCATAAATCAAAAAGTGCGAACATCTATATATCCTTAACCTAAAACTGTGGTACGTGGCGAGCCCAAACCGATAAAACAATGTTGCATACTCATCAGGAGTGTGTAAGACCCTTAAACAAGGCTTAACATGGTTTACGAACCTTGCATTGCGAAGTCGGACACTCACAAATGCCACACATGAAACCTCTCTCAATCGTTTTCACTCTATCTCTTCTTATCAAGAATCTCTCCTAAATCTCTCCAAGTATGTGAAACCTCTCTCAAATATCTATTTGTATGAGAAATCTCTCCAAGTATGTGAAACCTCTCTCAAACATCTCTTTGTATGAGAAATCTCTCAAAGAATGTCAAATCTCTCCCAAATCTCTCCAAGTATGTGAAACCTCTCTCAAATATCTCTTTGTATGAGAAATCTCTCCAAGAATGTCAAATCTCTCCCAAATCCCTCCAAGTATGTGAAATCTCTCTCAAATATCTCTCTGTATGAGAAATCTCTCCAAGAATGTTAAATCTCATCCAAACTCTCCAAGTATGTGAAACCTCTCTCAAATATCTCTTTGTATGAGAAATCTCTCCAAGAATGTCAAATCTCTCCCAAATCCCTCAAAGTATGTGAAATCTCTCTCAAATATCTCTCTGTATGAGAAATCTCTCCAA